GTATATTTCGGGGCATTGCAGGTTTCTGGACCTATGTGTAGAGCTGTTTGATGTGCGCGTGCCGAGTACAAGTGTTACAAAGAGCGAGCTTGCCACATATATCGCTTTCCTCATGTTCGAATTAGCCCCATTTACTCTAGGCATTGATCACTACAGGGTCATACAATGTTCTGAAGCTCACTTTCTGTCGAGAAATCTGGAACTCAGCAAAAAACTTAACACGTCCTCGGGTGGGGGCTCAAATTGACCCTCCAAAAGGCTTTTCCAGAATGGCTTCCGAACAGCGCGGTATAGCCGCGCCAAATTTTGCATACCTGTAGACAATTGAATGGCGGATCGTTTGACACAAAAATTTAGATGCACCTTGTAAGGTCACTGACCTACGGCTGGTCAAATTCAGGCCATGGTCTCAGCGAAAGCAATTTTTAGGGAATTGTCCAATCTGATAAAATAACAGAGTGTTAAACGAAGCCATACATCTCTGAGATGCTTTCTTAGGCACCACAGATATTTAATGAGCAAATTGCATTGAGCACAGGTCAAGTATGACGGTCAGACCAAGGCCACAACCAACCTGATTTATTACTATAGGGTTTTCTGTGGGATGGTTTGTGGTGCTCATTTCTAATTTATTGACAGCAGGAACCGCACTGTATATCTTCCATTAACTTCTTAGAGGTCAGAAAAGGTCATTGACCTAAGATGACCCGGGTCGACATTTTGTTTTAGGGGCATACTGCCTGGCGTAATCTTTGTCGCTTATTCAAATGCAAAACTCAAAGCAGTCTTGTATGATTTTGGTCACCACGACTTTCAAAATATCGAACAAAGTAACTGACCTCAAATGGGCTTTTGACCTTTTGCTTGGAAACAGTTGCCTAGGTTCTGGGGGCATTTTGGAGACCAGCCTATAATTTGACCTTGTTTGCCCTTATTTTACCTGAAGGTCATGACCCAGGAAGCTCAAACTTTGACCTAAATGATTTCACGTACAGGTCAAGCACCCTGAAAATTGGTGTCTCTAGCTTTCTTATTTCCCGAGATCTCAGGGGGGGTGGGGCAAATTGACCCCCTGCCCCCATCCGAGCGAAGGGCATCTAGCCGACCACCCGGGCCTGTGTTAAGAACGGAAAATTAAACTTCATGTACTGTACAAAGCTGCATGCCATCATCGCTCCTTTCGCACGACTTCCACTCAGTAAGGCTTTTTGGGTCAGATGTCAATTTGGTGCGCACGGACAGCTGACAGCCCATATGCTAAAAGGCGATTTAAGCAATAGGTAGGAACTCTGATGTCCCCCAGCCCATTCCCTAACCACTCCCCACACACGAACCAGGTACCTTCTTGTTTGTTCGATCTCAGAAGGAACCTGAATTTGCCTGCTAGCCGAGGGGGAAGCGCCGTTTCAGAAGGAAGCACCGATCTCAGAAGCACCGATCTCAAGGAAGCACCGATCTCTGAAGGGGCCTGAATCTGCCTGCCAGCCGAGGGGGAAGCACCGTTTAGCTCCGCTTACGGCGAGGCAGCTGCAGCGATCCAGATGCCGACCCTCGGGATGAGCCATCGTAGATGCCTTCTCCGTCCGGAATATGGTCACGTTGGCTGGCAGTTGGCGCACAGGCTAGCTAAACAACGATGTAGCAGACCGATATCACTTTGGAAAAACGGTTGACCAACGCAGGACCATTTCAGGTGTTTCGATGCTAATGATCAGGACATGATTTCACGATTTTGGTACCGGGATTTGCGATTTTCTGAATACGTTTGCGTTGAATTGCTACAGACCCTGCCAAATGTAATGTGAGAATAGTGGCACATCGGTCGTCAGCTTTATTACCTCCCCAGTACATTTTACCAGAACTTGGAAGAGTCCCACCTCCGCGTCCTGTGGCATAACGCCGGTAAACAATTAATGATCTATGATGTTCAAATGCGCAGTCTTATCGACCGCGACACCGAAAAGTTTGAGGCAGTTGGATAGGCGAAGAGTTGTTTCATTGAACTGAGCCGTAAGGTCACCAGGGGCACGCCCTCGGCGAAAGGCAACGCCAGCGGCATGCCTTTTGGGCCCGGTTTGTCTCCTAGTTATTTCGGACAAATCAACGTTAGGGATCGCTGCAAATTTACTGGATTTGGTCCCGGAGGTGCGCGAAATTATCTCCACGATTAAGGAAATGAGCATCGTATGCATGTAGCACAATCTTGGTGTTGAGTGTGTGCGACGCCAGCTCATTGCTTGAATAAGTGTAAAACTAAGATGAGCCCTAGGATAAGTCCCTGGACCGACCCAGGGACGGCTGGCACAGCCGTCATTCCTCCCCGAACCTTTTGCGACAGTCGCCCAGCCAATCCCTGAAACTACGAGCATCGGTACTCTGATTATGTCAATCAATGAGCTCTCAGATATGTTCAGGGTCGGCAATGGAAGACACTGTCGTTTTCAACGCTTTGTCGCTAGGCAATGCTTTTCACGCGTTCGCTGTCCCGAGACAGATGACCAAAATGTTGTCAATGCCGATGACCAAATACGTAAAAGCATCCAGCATCGTTAATCCCATGGATCACCCAGGTAAAGACCCCGGTTGCCTGTCGCAGATAACATGTGGACCACCAAACCATTCGACGGCCGAGTAGGTACACATAGTGCTTTCTGGTAGTCTGGTAGTTTCTGGGTTTTTTACCGTAGATGTGACAGAGAGACGTCAGTAACTCCCTGAGACCAGGATACTGCCTGAATCATAAAGCAGCTGAGCCAGAACATTTCGTTTCTCTGTTGGAAGCCCTCTTGACGCAAACCGCTAGTTGATCACATTTGACAGGCGCGGTATTATCACAGAAAATGTCATCCGCTGTCCGCAGCATGCTCGGAGTGTTCGATCATCACCAGGGCTTTCGAGCGCATGCGTTTTGGAGAAGTGGCAGCTCTGACGTCGTAACCGGACGACTTTAAACGTGCCACTGACTACAAGAGGTGGGCGAGTGTACAGCTGCAAATGTGTCCAGCGCTCAAAACATGTCAGTTTGTCATGACATGTAGCTAAAATCACAGCATGTCACGACATTAGTGCTACGACAAAAGCTTCTGCCGACAGAAGTGCAGCAACATTATTTTTGGGCGACATTATTTCGACTGCAAGAACTCGTATACGCGATGAGTGGTACACGGCAAGACTTACACAACAAAACACGTACCCTTAATTACTTTTACAACAAAAACTTGTACAGTTGTTAGGTATACATGACATTTACTTTACTGCAAATGCTTATACGTAATATCAGTGCTACACGACAAAACTTATACTAAAAAAACTTATACCTATTACGTCTTCTGCAAAAATCGATACTGTACCACTGACCAGCAAGATTACGTCTAGTGTTAATATTTCTACGCGACTATTGTGCCTTGCGATACAGACCACACTTAACAAGTGATACCAGTCAGTACGACTACACATGGGAAAAGCCTCACGAAAATGGGTGGTGCGAGCACACGGGAGCACTTCGACGGGCGAAATCAGACCAGTGGTAACCATTCCTTAGTGTCGATACATTAGGGCCACTGAAGTACAGATTAGTACTGAAGTACAGATCGACAGATTCACGACGGCGATGGCTCTACACCACATTTCCCTTGCTGAAAAACGCATAGTGCAGAGTCGTAATTTTGCAAACTAAAGTTGGAAGTTAAGCAAAGAAAATGGCCAAGCCTGCCTCAAGGTATATCGAATGCGCGGTTTGCCCACAATTTGACATCCTACGATCACCGATGAGGAGTGGGTGGGGTCCTCCCCCCCCCCCCCCCCCCCGACTGAATATTTAAGTACAAATCGGAGTTCACTGAAATGCGATATTACTTCTGCTCCAATGACTTTAAGGTTTGAGTGTTACACGGGAAAACTAAAGCTTCAAAAGGATCTGCCCATCATTAAGACTCTGCTATCAAGCTACAGCCCTTACACATACACCATGCATGAAAAATCGGTGAAATAATGTAACATAGTCGCGTCGCGTCTACGCACAGACTGTAGGTTTGCAGTGGAAGTGATGATGGAAAACATTTGCGAAGTGAAAGTTTTGTCGTGCAGCTCTAATGCCGAGTAGAAGTATTTGTAGTGGAAGTAATGGCATGAACAAGTACTGTCTGTATGAGTTTTGCAATGCAAGTAATATCGGGTATAAGTAATGACTGCGTCAGTTGTTTTAGTCCAAATAATGCCGGATGTACAAGTTTTTGAGGCTTAAGTCGTTGTAGTAGACGAAATGTCATTGATACGTAAGATTGGTGTAAGTTTTTGCAGTAAAAGTAATGACGGGTGTACATTTTTGAAGCACAAGTTTTATCGCGTATCACTTATACCATGTATAGGTATTGGCAGTAGTGTCGTAACACCCTTACCCGGTTGAACTTTTTACTGTAGCACTAATGTCGTGGAGCCGAAGTACAGGACTGCAGTATGTGTTGAACTGCGCACCTGCCCAGAACTCAGCATTTAGGAGTGGGAAAACGATGTATAGTCGAAACCCACTCCTGCTTTGTGCTTGTGCACTTGTGCCAATGTCCATCGAAATACGAAAATGCCCTTTCATCCAAATCCTTGGAGCCGTTAGACCAGCTTAAAACGCGTCCTTAAATAGCGACACAACTTGAGCAGCGTTTCCACCCGTATGCATTTTACGTGGTGCAATGTCCACTCCACTCGAAAGTACGGAGGTATAAGACGTGCAGGCATCCCGGCCACATTCCACGACCCGGCAGTTTTCGCGGGGACGTGTTCGGCACGTTTCACCTGGCAGTTTGCACCTTACGAGACCAAATGTGAATACTCTGCAGAGGCTCAGCTACCCGTAACAGCAATTTTCAGCGCTCCGAAATGCTCGACGACCTTCGCTCGCTCGCTACTCTCCGCCGGATCTTAGTCTGACATCATGCAGTGATTGACGGATTGCGGTAATGCGCATGCGCCGGCGCATGCGCAGAAAGGAGAAATCTGTCAGCTCACGGTCGCCTTCGTAAGCGCCGTTGCAATTCTGGCCGGCGGGGACCGCCAGGTAAGTGGAACGCGCATCTAACAGAACGACCGGCCGGTGCCAGAAGTAAGTGTTTGAAAGTACCAGCCTGCTGTCATGAGCGAGGGTACAGGGAAGGTGGGCGGGGCTATGGTGGGGGGGATGGTGGGTAAGGTGGTGGTGAGTGATGGGGATTGGCCCGCACACTTTTTCGGATGAAATGAATCATAGGCGTAAAAACGTTTAAAAAACTTGGGGGGCAGGCTCAGGGTATACTTCAGGAACTTTTTCTGGAAAGCGAGGCCGGTGATCTGGGGGGGGGGGAGGGGGCAGAGATGGAGGTTGTTATCGCTCTATTCAAATGCCGTGGTGCTATGCTATGCTAGATATACACCTAGAGCTGCTTGTCACTGGCGCACAATCTTGCCTATTCGACTCGTCTATGCCTGGCAAATAAGGCCATCCAGCTTCCCGAGGCTACTCGTCCATTTTAGCATTGTCTTTTCTGGGGAGGCGAAATTCCACGAGCGGATAGGCATTTTGGATCATTGAGGAGGCAGCTGCGTCCACAGGGTAGATGCCAAAGTATGGCCGGGACGTAGGTTGGTAACAATTTTGAAAGTGAACCGATGGCTCACAACGCGACAGATTTTTCATGCACCTTCATTTCGTTGGCTGATTTTCAAGAGATAAGACTTGTCGTAGCATTTAAGGCGGGAACAAAGTCAGAGTCTTGAAACTGCCAAAAACGACGTGACCATAGCCATTGAACTGAGGATTCTCTTGTAAGAACCAAGCCACATAATGAAGGCCCGTCTGTCATATGTTCTGGGCCCTGTTTCCTTCGCCGTCGGCGGCCACCGCCCTGACCTGGCTGTCTCGCGCATGACTGACCGCCACCTGATCGTATGGCTGCTTTGTTGCATATTTCTGGATCAGCATTTCTACTGATCAGTTTGTGAAACAGATATTGGACAGCTGCAAAATATCTTTGTTGCGAATTATCTTCCCTTACATCACACCATCGCAGAAAAATAGCCTCCAGGAGGCCGCTTACGTAGAGTATGAACTGGCCCGACGGACATTTCGTTGCCCATCATTTAACGTAGACGACTGGATCTGCTTTTGTGTGTAGGCAAAGGCGTAGCCAGAGCCTTGCTAATGGGAAACACAGGGTTGACGAACGCCCCTCTCATGGCGACCCCCTCCAAAACATCTCTGGATATAGCTTACTTGTTAACAAGGGATGCGGTTTTCTTGGTTTTATCGTTGTCTTTACCTTGTAACCAGAACGGAAACCAGAAGCTACCGTGAGATCAATTCTGTTTGTATTTTAAAGTCAATAAACTGCAGAAATCAGGCGTTGAACGACGGCTGCGAAGGTAGGCTGTAGATCGATGCGTTTGACCCAAATTTGAAGATAAAAAATTGATTACAGATCGAGTGGTCAACAATGTGTATTTACATGGCCAAACCATGTTTGTCTGCAAATGTTCACCATTCAGCCAGAATCGATCAATGGTGCAGTTTATGTAGGTGTTTTTTAACATGCACGCTCGCAAATCTTCGCAACCAAAGCCTCGGCACTAGGCGTAGCAGTCTCCATAGTACGCAGATAGTCCATTGGCTAAGTTAGCCGCGGCCCACTAGTGGACGCAAATGATGACGCTTCTCAAGTGGTTGTCCTTAAATACTATAGTCGACTCGAAGTACAATTTATGTGACGTAATTTTGAGCGTGCGCACTCGAAAATCTTAGAAACAAAAACCTCGACGCTAGGCGTTGCTGTCTCCGTAAACCGCGCAGCTTCGGTTTAGCAGCTAATATTGAGCTGCGGCCAACAGGTTGATGGAAATGATGACGCTTCTAAAAGAAGTATCTGTGAACGCTTCATGGCATCAAGTGTTGGATTTAGAAGGCAGATGGGCGCATATTTCAGGTGCGCAATTTTTATACTGATGATAAGCACGGATTGGCCCTTGAAGCACCGCGAAGTGAGGCTGGAATCAGGTGGTTGAACTGTAAGAGTAAAGGTAGAATCTTTATTTTTCGTGTTTCTGCAGCTATTTATCTTCCAGAAGGCAGATTAACACGGTGCCTGCCGTCTGGTGGCACTGGTGGTGGCACGCCGCAGTAGCTGAAAACCGTTCGGTTTACGGAAGCTACATCCCAGGCCACCGTTGTCCCCGCTCTCGAGGTTGCGGGCGGGCATGTTAAACCTCACTAACCCATTCTGAAAGAAATGAACGTTCCCGGGCAAACATGGGATGTCCTTGTTCGTTTTTTTTAAGTTAATTTCGACCCACTCTATTCAACAATAATGAGACCCGACTCTAATCAACAATAATGAAACCCCTTATTTCCTTCCGGACGACGGGCCCCTTAAGTAAAACACCATGAATACATTACCGTTTCCGATCAAAAGCTGAAGGGTCACTGCCTCCCATCGCGAAGTGTCTTCTGGCTGTCATTCTGGTGACAGGGGTGGAATCTCTTGGTCGATCCTGAGGCCGTTAGAAATATATATCATATTACATTGTTTCCGTCCCTAGCAAGGGAGGCCTTCTGACCCGCGCAGTTAGCCCTGGATCAGCACAGGAACCCTTAATGACGCAACAACATCCCTGATCGCCGCAGGGGGTCCAGTGATTATCACATAGACTCCAGTTCCATGTTCTTCTGTATTCTTCAGAGATACTGAAGACTTCCCGAACGTAGATTGTGGATGAAACGGAGTCCCAGATTTATATCAACGTGGCTGATCCATGTTGATCGTAAAATGTTCAAGATTCAGTCAGAACTGATTACGGATAATAAGCCATGTAATATGATTTCTCATAAAAGCTGGAGTGCCCCTCTCCCCACGCTCCATTTTAGGATCAGCCCTGGTTCCAATCCGTTCAAGGCAGAATGTTAGGGAAAGGCAAAAGTGTGTAAGGTACATCTTACGTGCACATTATGTACAGTGGAAACTAATTGAACACCGTCATGAAAGCACCTTACGCACATCGAAAGTGGGGATGTCATTTATCGCCTGTATCAGTTGTCTTGTTTTGGCAAATCTGTACCCGATGAGAAAACTGTGGTATCAGGTATGAATGTGTGTAGGAAACATCTGGCCATGAATGCATTCATGAGGGCACCCGGGGTACGTGCCCGCCCCCCCCCCCCCCCCATTATAAAGATCGAGGTAGATATGTAGAAAACCGGAATGATGTGTGTTATACATGCAGCATCCAATAAATCTGACACGACTTCGGGGTGCTAAAACGAACTTTTCATTCCGAAATTTTGTGTTATGTTTTGTTTTGCGTTTCCTCTTTCATCGCCAAACCGTGCCGCACGCCCCGGCACCGGTCGTCAGCGCATTGGTCAGCTTTGGCATAACTCCAGCCCGGCACCGAGAGTGACCAAACGGACGGTGAGAGACAGTGCCGGGACGGGACCGCTCGGTCAGGCAGCGCGACATCGATGGACGGAGGTCGTGGCGCTCCCAGGCGCGGCAGGCCGCCGCCGGCCGCGTGACACCCACCGAGCGGGGGTCAGTGGTGACCTTGACCGGGCCGCCACGGCAGCGCCAGGCTCACGACGGACCCTGAATACGCCGATGCTGTCGTGCTGAGAGGTCTCTGACCAGTCGCTGATCCAGACCCGGATGCGCTTACCGCTTCAGGCTTGAGCGTCCCCTGTCCTGCTGTCGGTAAACAGACCTGTTTAGATGCTAATCAAATGGGTGCCAATTTAACTTTGATTGGAGTCTGCGTATGTGACGGCGGCGACATGACTGGCGTCGGTCCAGTCCGAAGCGTCATCCAACTGACAGCGCCATCCGAGGCGTGGGGTTGCCGGGTGGCACGTCTTGCACGCTTACTGTGAAGGGACAGGCCATGCGCATGAGTTGCATATGCCACGAGGCATTAGTGATCAGATGTTCTAAAAAAAAACTGTTGAATTGTCTCGGGGAAATGGTCCTTTTCAGCCGTCAATATCTCGTAAAACATGTTGGCGGTTCATTCATGCCGTGGTTGGTTGCGTTGTTCGTCGTTTGCATGCGTCTCAGTATAGGATACCTAGTCGTTTGCAGGCCCCGAAACTGGATTGGCCCCGTGTTTGCTTTCGAAGAAACCCTTGGACGTCTTTCCTAGTCCAATGGCCTTGCTTTGCGCAGGTGGTTGTGTCCACACTTCATTGTGGTCGAGACGACTGAGTGAGGAAAAATTGCTCGCATGCGAAGTGCATTCCAAACACATTCCCACATTTGCTCCTGCATCCCCATCTGCAAGCATTTGTTGGCATCAGACAGAAGCATGATGACGGCTTTGTCCTGGTATAACTTCGTCTCAGACGGGAAAGCTTAATGGCCAGTGAAGTTTTGTGAGCTGATGGTCAATGGTGGAGGCGCAGTGAAGAACGGTTGTCAGTGCAGCTTTCTTAAAATCAGAGTGTGCGCCTGACTGATGCCTAGTTAAGGCATACCGGAAGCCCCTGGATATGGTGGAGGCACAGGTCTCAGGCAAAACACCGATAGATGAAACTCCGAAATTGCTCTTAATTCGACACCGACACTGCCACCCGTGACTGCCTGGGGTATCCTGCCACCCGTGACTGCCCGGGGTATCTTGCCACCCGTGACTGCCCGGGGTATCGTGCCATCCGCAACTGCCTGGGGTATCCTGCCACCCGCGACTGCCCGGGGTATCCTGCTACCCGCGACAGTTTGGGGTATCACGCCATCCGAGACTGCCTGGGTTGAGGGGTTGGTGAGTTCATGGTGTCTCGGTACCTTACCGTCGGATCAGAAATTGAGAACCTCTCTGACATTCAAGGGCGCCCTTTAGACCGATCAGGGGCGATTCTTCAGTTTTTGGAGCGCTCTTTGATCTCTAAAGGCGTCCTTTACACTTTCGGCAGGACGTGGACTATGAGGGGCTCTCGCGAGCTCGTGAAGCCGTGCCCGGATCCTGCCCGGAGTCTTGAGCCGTGCTTTAGTTCTTCAATTCGTCCTTCTATACTCTGGGACATATCTATACACATGAGTGCCGTTTCGTCCCTTGGGAACGGCTTCTCCCCTCAGCTCAAGGTTTGGGGCACATTTACGTCTTCACGACCATTAAACGGCCAGCCCCGTCCCAATCCGTGCCTGGCACTCCTAAGGACTCGAGAGATGCCCGCCCCGTGCTCAGCATGCCCTAAACAGCATGTGTTCCGCAAAGCCTGACAGAGAGTCCCAATGGCCCCTAGAGGGGCGCCCCCACTTTCCGATCGGAGGAGAGCGTGCCCTCAGTGCCCCTTCTCTGGATACGCCCCTGACGTCCATGACATTGACCTCCCCACCACCTGTCGTCGTCGCTCCAGACACAACGCGTCCGTTCTTCCCCCGCCGGCGCATCAGCCGGCTGCAGCGCCCCAGCGGCGGCGGGACGTCCGCCGCGCTATCTCTGTGCCCGGGAGCGGTGCAGCTGTCGCGCCGCGAGTCGGTGTGAGACTCGGCCGTCGTCAGCCCGCTTCTGCCTGCGTTTCAGCCTCCTCTCGCCATGGTGGTATTGCCGCTGCTGCTCAGCACGCTGCTGGTCGCCGCGCTGGGCGCCGCCGACCGGCCGCCGCTGGACGTGGTGCTATACTTCGAGGCGCTCTGCCCCGACTGCCAAGACTTCATCTCGGGCGGCTTCGCAGACGCGTGGCGCGCCGTGCCGGAGATCCTGAACGTGACGCTGGTGCCGTGGGGCTTCGCCACGGCCACGCCGGACGGCGACGGCTGGCGCTTCACCTGCCAGCACGGCCGCGAGGAGTGCCGCGGCAACAAGCTGCACGCGTGCGGGGTGCGCCAAGCGCCGTCGTCGGGCGCGTCGGTCGACTTCTCCGTGTGCCTGGAGGCAGAACGGCCCGAGGAGGAGTGCGCCGACGACAACGGGCTCGACTGGGACGCGCTGGAGCGGTGCGTCGATGACCCCGACACCGACGCCATCATGCTGCGCTACCGCGACTTGACCGACGACGCGCGGCCCGAGATCGTCGAGGTGCCCACGGTCAGCGTCGATGGCAGTCGGCGGCACCAGGACGACATGCTGGACGACTTCCTCGAGTTTGTGTGCAACGCGTGGCAGGGCGAGACGCCGCCCGGCTGCCTGCAGCGGGTTGACCTTGACTGACGCGGGTGGGGCTGACCACGTCCACGTCACGAGCCCCGATGCCGGCCGGCTCCGCCACGGTCAGGGCTGCTCGGCCACACGCGTCCGGGTGGTGTTTAGTGTTGGTGTGGTGATACACGTTCAACTGCTATCTGCTCCGTTGGGGATTGCAATACACGTGTGGTTGTGATTGCCCTCGTTTGTCTGCCAAGACTACGAGCATTTGAGAGTTGGGATTTCATATCTGCTGGCGGAATACTGCATTAAGCCAGTAGAATTATCCAGGTGCTTAACCGCCAGCATCGTACTCCCGCATGAACACCTCATTGGACAACGGGAGGATCGCATGCTATTTCGGCGATGTTTGAGGACGGTACCGTCCTGTGTGGAAGCGTACGGCTTCGGTCAGTCAGTCAGCCGTCAAACTTTTACCTGCTCTTCGTTCCAAGCACAGCTTCACAAACAATGGATAGCCAATGGGATTATATTTGATAGGGCACTAGTACAGTTTCTCACATTGATCGCACGTCCGTGTAACATTAACACATAGCTTAACGTGAACAGCTACAAAAATACGCTCCACCCTCAGCAGCCTGCGCGCAACAAGAAACATGGAAAGGAGCGTGTTTGGAGACGCGCAGTGACTGGGGAGAACGCACGACCCGAGAGACCGGAGAGGGCGCAGGGGCTGGGCACTGGTCGCGACATTGCGCCACCACTGCTCGTCACAACAACTGCTCGCCGGCTGCGCCAACGCTCGGCGGAAGGGAAAGCTGCGAGGGGTTAGCCACGGCACGATGCAGCGACGGAAATTGCTGGGTGCGCGCGTCAACGGCGGGCGGCTCGCAGCTGGACCGTTGCCAGCCGCGTGCACCAGCCGCAGCGAACCGCGCAGGTGGGCGGCGGTCCGGCGCTGCGCAAAGCGCGCAACCACAAACCAAGTGTCGATAGAAAATACTGAGAAATAACGACGTCAAGAATGCATGGCAGGCGAAGCAGGCAGCAGGCAGACACGCAATTTCAGAGGGATTCGAAACGAATCAACAAAAGCAGACTCCCAACTGGCACCAAACCTTACCCGTAGCATCCTAGCGCGGCCCACGCGTGCTTCCGGCCGCTGCAGGGTAAGCTCGCGGCCGAGCGGGGACCGGCCGACAGGGCGCCAATGCTCTATACACAGCTGCGTCGAGACTGAAGCCGCGCACAACGCAAGCCAATCCTCGGCACACGGCTGGTACTATCCAGTTACAAAAGCGGCACACCATACGTGCATCACACTAGCGCGCGGCGGCCGCCGGGTGGCGCTGGCAGCGCGCCGCCAGGGGCGCTGGCAGCGCCCTCCCGCCGGCGCGGTGCCACGCGCGCTACACAACTAGAGCCGAAAGGTCGCAAGCAGGGCGTTACAGGGCTGCATTTCGTACACATCAGAATGTGCATATTTATATGTACAGGTATCACAAACGTTGCGGTGGTGAAGCGGAAGTCAATGAAACCGGGGAGCCGTCGTGTTGCTGCGGCGGCCCTTCGATGCTCAGACGCTCACATCCTTGTTGAATATTATAAAACTATCAAAAGGTAACCAGGCCCAGTTGAAACGCTCTCGCAGGAGCTCACTGGCTTTTGATTTCCGCGTGGAGAATGCATAGACTTTGGTGCCAGAGCACCCGTCACGAGCAGACCAGCTGTTCGGACCCTGCGGTCGGGGAGCGTCTCGCCTCCTGTTCAGAGGACGCCGGACTGCTAGTCCGCCCAGCGAGAATTAAGTAGACGTGTTGTGACCATATCTGGCAGGGGCCTTAGAGCTGTCATCCGCGCGCAACGAGCCACTGGGACGCCCACGCGCGGCGCCGGCGCACGAGAAACAGCCAACGCTCTCGATAACACCCAATACGAACAGGACTCTTCTAGAAATAGGTACAACTCTTCAATTATGGAGAGCAAATCCCGTCCAGCCCATGGCGCCGTGATAAAAAACCAACTAAGTACTTCGCTTATGGAAAGAACCGTGTGAGCCACAACTCAGAGAATTGCAGTCTCCTCGTCTACTATACAATAAAATACAATCAGATTATCTTTACTGAACACATGAGTGGGACCCTCCGGATACCAACTATATACTGGCAGACAGAGACTGTGTGTCTGCGTATTTGTACGATTGTAAAGGCTCTGTATCGGTGGTTGATGACGTCACTCCATCGACCGTACCCGAGCGCACTCGTCTAGTTCGGCCTGTATGTACAGAGACTCCTACCAATATATACTATATACATGTGCATATCTGCGTACACACGCATGCGCTCGGGCACACTCACACCCACACCGTGCGGCCGGCAGCCCACACAGCCACGCGTCGCCCCGCAGCCACCCACACAGCCACGCGGGGCCCGCAGCCAGCTGGAGGAGGCCCGTGCGGACCGTCGTCCCGGCCGGCGGGGCCCGGGTCAAGGTTGTTAAAGCTGGGTGACCCGGGCCGCCGGCCCCCCGAGCTGGGCTCGGCCGCAGCAGGTCGGCGGCGGGCGGCGCGCAGCCCAGACCGGCCGCAGCACTATCTGACCTCAGGTCAGGCTCGGTCGTCGACGGCAGCGGCTATGTCAACAATAACAAGCGAGCTCCGCCCTAGGCTATGCACACTGATTCGAAGCGACGATGCTGCGGCTACGCACGACTGAGGCGCGGACGCACGGATGTGCTGCCGGACATCACAGCGCGGTATGTACACAAACTTCAGGTTTGCTCCTCGTCGGGTAGATGTCAGGCGCGGCGACGGTGCGTGCAGCAATCTTCTTGTGAGGAGGGCGTAATGGCACTTGGTGTTGCGATTCGATTCGACTTGGTACCTGCAAAGGCGGATGAAGCAATCAAAATGTTGTTTCTCGTGCACATGTGCACAGCATCATGTGGTACATATACTTGTCGTGGGCCCGTAAGCGACTATTTTGGTGTGTGTAAAAAGTCTGGAAAAGTCTGTTTAGTTTTTATTTGCCAGGACACGTCACGACTCATGCTCTCTGTGGAAACACTGTGGGTACTGGAGTCGGGCCTCATGAGCATCCCTGCAATCTTTTCATAACGCGATTCCAAAATTATCCTTTTGACATAATGACATCAGAGCTGCAGTGCAGATATTGTTTTAAGTGTTTAACTTATTGTGCTTTTCTGAACGTGACAATTATTGCACTTTCCCATACTCATGTAGTTAAACCGAGGTCTAAAAAGGCCTCCCGTAGCGAAAAAGGGGCAGTCAGGTCAGGCTGTCCCCAACTTCACTTCTCACTTTCATAATGTCCTCGATCCATACGACACTAAAGCCCTTTAAAACTTCGCATTCGAGATTCAAACTTTTCCCGATATGGGCGGCGGCAGCGGCGCCCCCACCCCCTTCATCACTCGCGTCCAGGCCGCCGCTGTCGATGTTCCGGACCAGAACGGAAAATCGGAATTAAGTGGGCGTCGGCACGCAACGCTGCCGGCAGTTTGAGATGTCGATGCGGTCGGTGCCAGGCCCGACCTGGCCGGGCGCTGGCGGCGCCGCAGGCCAGGCGCACTAATGGCTGCCGGGGTGAGCGGCGGCTCGCAGGCCACGGGGGCCACCACAGCAAGAGCGGCGCCTTCCACATGTCTGGAAGGGCTCGGGTACAGTGCGAAGTTGGTCCTTCAGCACAGTATCCCTGTGCGTGGTCCGATGAGCGGTACAGCTCAATGGGTTCCTTCCGCACGGGGCAACTGTACGCGCTCTCTTCAGCACTGACTGAAAACGTGCGCGCCCATCAGCCTCGACTAGTGCGAATCCCGTCACCAGCCGCTGGTGGCGGGTCCCATCACCGGCGCTGGTGACGGATCCCATCATCAGCCGCTGGTGACGGATCCCATCATTAGCCGCTGGTGACGGGCCCCATCACAGCCGCTGGTGACGGGTCCCATCGCGTGCGCTGCGCCGGCCGCTGTTTTGAACAGGCGTCGTCCAGTCAGCTGAGACGTTCGCTCCGTTCCGTCCCGGTCCGCCCGTTCCGTCCCGGTCCGCCCGTTCCGTCCCGGTCCGCCCGTTCCGTCCCGCCCGGCCGGCCCGGGACGGCTGGACCGGAACGGTGGCCCGCTCTGGCCGCTCTCAGGAGCGCCCCTGCGCTGGGCAGACGTCAGATACGGCGTCATGATCCACACAGCGGGCAGGGAGGGAGCATTGTCTCCCCCCCCCCCCCACACACACACACTACACTCGGAGTTGACAATCTGGTTGTCTACGACTCACCAAACGAAGTGGTCGGACATGAGAAAAACCTAGAAACTAAAACCTTAAGACTTAAAAATTTTGTCTTGCTGGGTGGCTTCAACATATCAAGTTGGCACCGTTGTCATTTGTGATGCTAATCTGCCCACTGGCAGCAACATTAAACTGGCAAATATGGAAGGATGTCATAACCTCCATAATAAGTTCAAATCAATATTTTGAGTGGCTCCAGTCCCTCCCCCTTTACCTCCCCCTTTACCTCCCCCTTTACCAGCCCCTTTCCCCAGCCTCTTCTGCCTAGATGCGATGCTAGCAGCCAGGCCCCGATTCGCCATGTCTCTTCCCACACCCCGTTCTCCCAGCCCGACAGAGGGCGTGCCACCCGCGTTCACCTCCGCAGCCCGTCTCGACTTCGGCCACGCCCGGTGCGGGCGAGGCCGGGCGGCGCGGCCGCTGCCGCCATGTCGGTCTCAGCCAGCGGAGCGCCGGGGTGGGGGAGAGCGGGACGGCCGGGCCGGCCATTGGTGCCGGTCTGTATGCAGCTCTACGAGCCCCGGCGGCGCACTTTGCCGGCCAGGTATCACCGGCAATCTGAGTCGGCGGCGGTGGCGGCGGCGGTCAGACCAGGCCGGCCTGGTGGCGGCTGAAGCGCCGGCCCAAGGCCACCGATATTCTGAGCCGCCGGGGGCCAGCGGACGCCGCGTGCAACGCGTCGGCGTTGCAGCGGCCGGGTTCAACCTCAAGGTCAGTGGCGCCCCGGCCCGGCCTATTCCTAGCGACGGACAGCCGTATCCAA